ATATAGTATAAAAATGTCAACAGCTGTGGAAAAAACTATAAGAGATCTAGAAATGACATTAAATTGTACGAATACGATAGACAATTAAAAACATGATCCTCACTTTAAATCCTAACATTTAGTTTTTAAATATTTATATTTATTTTCATTCGTGTAGAAAATTCAAAAAATAAAAACAATTAAGATATACCCAGTGTTATCATTCAAAGGAAAGAAAAAACAAATGGAAAAACAGGAAAAAGCAGATAGTAATTAACCATGACGTAACTTCAAGTAGGCCATTAACAACAACAACAACGAAAAATGAGCAAGCTAATTTTAATACACGAATATTTTTGCAGAGGAATATTATCGTAAAATGTCATGTGAAATGGTTTTTGTTAAATATGCAAGTGTTGCGTCGCCTCAAAAATAATATTACTTCGACTTACACAAAAATAACTAATTAAATAAGTAGAAAAAATTGTCCCGCTGTGTTAACAAACATTCTATTTGACTAGAATCTCGTCTATCAAAATAAATGAAATACTTCAATGAAAAATAAACACAGAAAATTATGAAATGAAGTTTCAAATTTGAAAAATAAAACGACAGTACATGAGTGCCAGAATTAGATAAGGACAGCATATCTCTCACTTTGTAGCGTGCAACTTAGGTTGATGAAAAATAAACACCTTATCATCCGGTTATTTTGATGTTGAGTTTATATGAATGACGATTCAAACGCCAGACTCAATGCAAAATTAAAAATAAACAGCAGATTGCTATTCGAATGTAAAAAAAAACTATTTCTACAATTTAATAATTTAAACGCGCAATTATTTGGAACGAAAAATCAGATACGTCAGGTGCAGTTATGTTGACCGCAAAAAACTACATTCAGTATGAAAATTCGATGCCAAAAATGGGGCGAGCGAGCCAGATAATATCGCCGCCAACACCGTAGAGAAAATAACGGAAATGATTTAATAATAAACAAATGTGACGTTAATGAATGGAGTCCTTCCTGCTAGATTCAGTGGTGGACTGCATGGCCTTCGTGACAGCATTCAAAAGTTCCACCTTCTCCCTGAACGAGATATCGCTGCTTGCGATGCTGCTCGGAATGGAGCTGCAGTTGGTGTCGCTGTCTGGTTGCTGGAGGCCCTTGTCGTTCCAAGTCAGGAAGTGCTGGTGGTGGTCTGATGTGTCTGTGTGTTTCGCGTGTGTGTGTCTGTGTTTTGTGCGCGTGCGTGTGGTGAGAGTATGTAGTTTTATTATTATTGCTGTTGTTTAATATCATAGATTGTTGTTTGCAAAGTAATTATTGTTGTTAAACTGGAGTTGCTTAGTGTATGCATGTTCAGTTAGAACGTATTCCTATTTCACAGAAATTAATGAAAACAGAAGCATGTAATCATTTAATACACCTACATTAAAACACATTTAAATTGAGAATGTTTTGAAAATAAAATGACATAAATGCCGTTACTTTAAAAATAATAAAACTAATTATGAAATTGTAACAGTATGAAATATAAAATATAGATGGCAGACCAATGTTGTGATGTAGAAGATGTTCAGATGAACTGGATGAAATGTTGTTGTCGGATGTTTCAAGACTCGACGGCATTTCATGTCTATAATCATCTTTCAGCTTCATCAACCTGTGGCGTTGTTTTGTGCGTTACGTTCGTCTCGATGTTGTTGTGGTTGTGTGGCTGTCTATTTTCATTAACAGTGCCTATGAAAAGGCAATGAGTGCTTACGTGCGCATAGGCGTAAGAATGTTTGAAGTAACTTCAACGTGGTGAATAATTGAAAAAAGGCTGGCACACAACCCACGATGTATCACATGATTGATTGAGGAAATGCATGCATGCCGTGTTGGAATTCAACGAAGAAGAGACGCTAATTTATAACAATCAGAAAATAATTATAGAAAATTTAGCATTATAAAATACAATCTGCTAGTCACCTGTTGTGTGTGATCTTCTTCTTGTTGAAAGGTTCTTCAGGAGCTGGAGATGGGGGTGAGTACTCGTGCCCCAGAGAGTAGGAGGGGTTCATTTCGTTGTCACTAAAGTGCCTACCACCACTGCATCCCACCTCGCCCGCACCCACGAGCAACATGTCACTGGACAGGGCAGTTTTGTTGCTGTTGGACCAGTTGTGTTGACGATTCTGTTGTTGTTGTTGTTGCTGCTGCTGCTGGGTGCCACTACATTCTGGCTCACTCATGGCGTGCGGAGACCAAACCCTGCTACCTCCTCCTCCTCCAAATTCTTCTCTCACTCTTTGCGGGACAACGCCATTACTTTTCCAGTGGTGTTGTGATATCGTGCTGCTGTTGATCTCGTTGTGAGCAGTGCTGTTGCTTGCATGGTTGGTGTTGTTGATTGTGGTGTTATTGCCGTTAATGTTGTCGTTGTTGATGTTCTCATCCTTACATTTCGATTTCCTCCTAGACCTGCCCGTTGTGTTGGTGGCAGCAGAGTGATGGTGGTTCATTAATTTCTTGCAGGGCTTCGGAGAATTTGAATTGGAGTTTTGTTGGAGGTAGTGATGTTGAGCAAGTTGTGGGGGGGTGAGGGGCAGACTGGGAGGTGGGTGTTCAGGTGGGGGAGGAATGTAAAGTATGGCTGGATAGTGGTGAGATTTCTTCAGGGTGTTACTACTTGGTGCGTTGTTGCTACTGTTGTTTGCAGCTGTTAGGGGGTTACAACAACCAACACTTAAATGAACACATAAATGTTTCTTTTTAGATAAAGAACATGCATCGTGAATATTTTTTTAATGATAAATTATGATAATTAGAAATCCAAATTATGAAGGTAACAAAGTTAGAGATAAACGCTAAAAGTTGCTGCCTTTTGCTGTTTTAGAGTCAGTGAAGTTATCAAGACTGTGACCTCCTGCGACCTCGCTGTGACCCTCAACTTTCATCTGGTTGCTCCTGTCTTCAACAGTCTCGGTCGTCATCAACTTAGAATAGGGATGTGCCATGTCATTTAGAAGGTTCTCACAATTTTCTTGCGTCAAGTTATCATCGGTGTAATGCTGGGGTGTCGGTTGCAAGCCTGTGCCAATTATTTGTTATCTTCCTTTACAACATTATCGAATGGAACGAATGTTTTAAAAGTTTATGTAATTAAAATAATAATTCCAATTTTTTTTAATAAAAAATAGCATTTAGGCAGAGATGGAGCATGGACGGATGTACTGTAAGCAAGGTTTCAGTGAGCTCATTCAGTTGCACAAACAAACAAAATAAATGATAAGTTATATAGGAAAAATGACTAAATACACGTGGAGAATCGACTACAATGTAATTAAATAACGACCGTTGTAATGAGAAGGTATGATGTGCTTGTCGTCGCTTTGAGAATTCAGAGCTGTGAATCCATTTCTGAAGAGGCAAATGAAATGAGTGATATAAGACGAAATGAAAAAAGCATGTGAATGGTGACTGAGCATGTGTTTGTATTTGCACTGATCGCATGCTATGCCTCCTGATGACGTATATCAATAACAAGGCAAACACAATAATTAAACTTCCACATTTCAAACCTAAAAATGTTTTCAACGAATTTCAACTAATCTTGGACATATAAGGAACAACAAACATAAAAATAAGCTGGCCGAAATTGGCGATAAAAACAATGTTATACATATATATAATTATATATATATATATAATATATATGTATATATATATTATATACTGATACATACAACAGCATACATACACTAACAACAAATGATGAACGACATAGAACAAACAAACCTTATGCGATCCTCTCCTGTATAAATTATTAGCACAATTGATTATGTTTTTAAATTAAATAAATTAAACATAAAAATAAAACAAACCAATAAACCACTGGCACGTCAAAGATAATACAAACGAACACACAAAAATACAACATGAACACCTTAGAAACTCAACAATATGTCCAACCAATGATATCCAAACTGCTTTGAACCTTAGCGCACAAATAAGGAACCAGGAACAAACAAACAAACAAGCTAGCAAACAGACAGATAGACGGGCAAATTGACAAGCGGACAAAGAGAGACAAACAAAAGCAAATTAACCAAATAACCAGCCGACAGACTAACAAAACAAGCAAAGAAAGGAGCGGAACCCACCATGTCCGTTATAAATGTTATAGTTGAGTGGTTTGCCCTGCTTGTTCTTCCTGCCCCTGACCATCCTAAAGCCGACAATGCAGAGCAGGATCCAGACGACAGCTCCCAAGATTGCAATAATGGTCACAATCAACCACGTGTTGAATGGCTGGTGGCTGTTGCTTGACGAATGGCCCAATTTCACCAGTGGGTTGCCTGAATTGGTGGAGCGATGACGGCGGTGGTGATGGTGGTGGTCATACCGGCAATGCTGGTGCCGTGTGGCAAAGTGTAAATTATTTCTTCAATCTATTAATTTCAATATTAACAAATTATGACTGAACCTTCATAATCAACAGAAAGTTGAATAACATGAAGAGGCAGCATTAAAAGGGTGACAAAATGAAGAAACAACAAAAATATTGATAATAATCATAACGCGCATTAAAAAATTTCAAAACAAAATTCAGTGCGCCATCACTTCAGAAGCACTCGAAACATAGGTGCAATTTTTAAATGATATTTTAAAAATAGAAAAAAAATACCTGAAAATTTCGCAATCAGGCAAAAAATGGAAAATTTTGAATAAAAAAAATGTTCATATTTTTACAACAATGGAAATGTAATGGTGTAGTATTTACATGCTGTTACATTTTACATTTTGTCAAATGTAAACTCATGCAGGGTGTTCAGGTTCAGGAAGGTTCAGGCAGCATTCATGCCAGATTATTGTTTCCGAATTGGTCAGGACAGTAGCCCAAATTAGGATCAAAACATTTCACAGAGCATTGCATTCACTCAAGTTTTAATGACCATCAAACAAACAATGTCAAAATCATCGAGAAACAGACCAACCGACTGACCAACCAACTAATCAGCCAATCAGCAAACTAACCTACAGTGTGAACATCACTTCTGGCTCCATCGCCAACCACAGTGAATGCACATAATTGTATGGCGTACTCCATGCCCCTGATGATGTTGTGTATGTACACGCCATTCATCGATGTGTTTACTTTTATCTCACGATTGAACTTCGACTCGCTACACGACATGAAGATCTTAAATGGTATCATCGCAAGGTCGAGTTAGTTACTATCAAATAACTAACTTATCAATAAATATAGAAAATACGTTAAACTAACTGCGGTTTAATTCAATAATAAATCTGCTTTACAAAATTATTATTGTCAAGGCATTTACAAGAAACGACTAAGTTTATAAAGTCTGAAGATAATTGTGCGAAAAACCAGCAAGCAGTCTGCCATAGCAGACCTCACCTTGTAGCCGAGAAGAATGCCATTGTGATGTTTCCTGGGTGGAGGATCCCACGATATATGCACTGTGTTGTTGTCTGACAGCTCGACCAAAACGTTCGAAGGAGGGGCTGAAGGCACTTGAAAGAGATTGACGATCATTCAGCAATGATTTTTAATCGAGTTTCACGGATTTAAAATTTTTTTTAATAAAAATCACAAAAAAAGTTGTAATTTTTTACAATGATGAAAAATTGTATTTTTTCTTCACCATCAGTGTCGCACATCATCCGATCACCATTATCGTCCTCATCAACCACCACCATCATCACACGTCACCATCGTTCGCAACAAGTTCGACAGAGTAAATGAACTTAGTAGAACACGAGAACAATTGAACAAGTCGTGTAAGGAGGTAACTGAATCGTAGGAGAACGCGTTCTATCTAATTAAAAATATTTCCCGCTGAGAAATTGGCAGTGAAAGGAAAACAAACAAAAGAAACAAAAAATGTCTATTTAATTATTTTATAACAGTGCTCCGTGCTTCAAGATACCTACATCTTCAATGCAATCACAACGACGCAGGAATGGCAGCGAATATTTCAAACGACGTAATTTAAAAAAAAAACACAACAATGACAAATAAAAATAATCACAACAATAAATGCATTGACGATAACATCAATGAAAAAAGTAATAATAAAAATAATAATAATAAATGACATTTAGAATTAAATGCTGACCATCTTGTAATGTTCTAGCTTTAACATTGTGACTGGCGACACCAGCCACTTCGCCATAGTAAGGTTGCACATTGACATCGTACATGGTGAACTTCTGCAGGCTGGTCAGTACGTGTGAGTTGATGGTGTTGCTAGGTATGTTGTCCTCGGCATAGCCATGAGTGTTCGCCTGCTGTTTGTCCACGTTGTTGTTGTTGTTGTTGACATCAATGTCGTGTATGTTGCTGTTTTTGCTGTTGCTGATGATGTTGCTGGTAGTTGCAGAGTCCGATTGTACCCATTCGTTGCTTTCATCATCTGTTGCTGCAATTGATGCTGCTTGTTTTTGAAGGGTTTTAAGTTTTCTGGTTTTAACAAATCTCTTACTAAATGATTTATGCTTCTTCTTATTAAATCTAGACTGTGGTAGATCCAATAAATAATCAGAATCATTATCGACATCAACATCAACATCTTCTTTGTCGTCGTCACCGTCATCATGAAAATTATCATCATCATTATTCTCAGCGTTGAACTTATGTTTAGTACTGAACTTATTTTTGTGATACGCGTTGTGATGTCTTTGGTGAGGTCTGTGTTTATTGTTGCCATTGAATCGTCTGTTGAATTTGATGATCTTGTTGCTGTTGTGACGAGCTACTCCGCCACTGCTGTCCAATTGATCATTGACAACTTTATTGTTGTTGTTGCTGCTGAGTTTGTGGCTGTGAAGATTGCTGTTGTGGTTCATTTTGTTGTTGTGGATGTTGTGGTTCATTCTGTTGTTGTTGCTATTGTATTGATAAACTCGTCGAACTTCATAAGCCACTCGATACCTGCAGACCCGTTGATTCGTGAAAGTTTTAAAGAACAACAAAATTATTAGTCGATATCATTAGAATGTATTTTTATTGAAACTTTTATGTTTTCATTAAATGAACAATCCATTGAGGAAAGACGGATGAACATGAGCAAGCTTGAAATAAAGCAGAGTTCTGACCTGACGAGAAATCCTTCAATGAACCTCAAGGCACCTTTCTTCACCTCCCATGTTACCCTCAACGATGTCGAGTTTAATACCTTCAAATAAATAACAAATACTTTCATTCATTTATATATTTATTTATTTATTTATTATGATTTAATGAATTCTGCAAAGTTCATTTTACTTTCACGTAATCCCATACTAAATTGTTTTCAAATTATATAAAACATTTCCGGCATTTTAACAACATTATCAAAATAACGACATTTTAAAAATCTATTTTTTTTATATAAAAATTGAAGTTTAAAAAAAACCAACAATCTTCGAACACGCATTCAAATAATTTTTGATGTGATTAGCAGAAATAAGAGCAAACCTCAAGAGGCTTGATGTTGACATTGTGCACACTCAACTTCTCCTTTATATAAGTTTCGTTGAGTGCAGGATTGGATAGTTTTTGTGAGCTAATCCATTTTGAAGAAGAAGATGATGTTGGAGAGGAAGCAGAGAATGACGATGATGATGACGATGCTGTTGCACAAGGTTATAAAAGATATGTAACGATAAAGTTGAAGGATCTTGTGTTGCAATAAAGTGTAAACAATAAATTTAAAAAAATTGTATTTCTAGGAAATTAAATATAAAAAACGATATAGCGCGAAAGCCACAAGTTATAAAACAGCAGACGGAGGACAAACATTTAGTTTTGACAGGTGCAGTGAGGGGGCTGGGCCCACTGAATCCATGCGAGTTTCGAGCTCTGAAGAAGAAGACGTACGTCTTATCTGGCTTCAAACCAGTTACTGTGTAGGTCTTGCTTGTTATGTTGTCATTTGCAACCACCCAACTCTGATGAGGAATGATGTAAGGGATGATGATGAAAGATGACGATGATGACGGTGATTAGTGGTCGTGGAGAAACGGTATTTGTTGGGTCTTGTGAGAGTGCAATGCTGTTAGGTTGCAAACAGTTGTACTACTTCAAAATGTAATGGCAAAATGTAATGGGTAATCTGAATTTTTGACAATTTATGAAATTTGAGCAAATAAATATTGCTAATAAAAACTGTCAAAAACTGTTTTATTTTGATGAATTTTATTGGAATCACATAATTTAAACCTAAAAATTAATAATTCATTCATCCATTGAAGAAAAAGAATAAATGTTTTTTTATTCTTTTCACTAAAGATACCTCTGTCAATATGTCTCAAAAAGAAGTTTAGAAAAACTTACTCTCGAACAAAACAATCCATGACAATCATAGATTTAAACATGATTAAGTTAAAATATTTTGGAAATTTTTCTCGGAAATTCATAAAAAAAAGAGGAAAGAACATTGACAGAAGATCTAACCTCCCCAGTTTCATGACTGAAATACTCCACTGAGAAAGACGTGACGGGGGTGACACCCTGGAGAGCTTCAAACCTCCACGACAACTTCACCCCGTCGTGGTACACCTCAACGATGGTTGGTTCTGTGAGGGGGACGTTCGGGAAAACGTGGTGATGACTGGGCAGCGTGTGGAAAACGACCTTGTGGTTGGTCTGAGATTCAACTGATAAGTAAGCACTTCTTGTGGTTTCACCAGATTCACTGCATGCCTGACACATGTAAGTACCCGAGTCACTCTTTGTTAAATCTGTTGCCAATGGTTAATTAATTAATTTCCTCTTCATTTGAGATCAGTAAAATATTTATACAATGTTTAGATTAATAAAAACGTACAAGCTAAATATAAATATGCAGTATGATTAAAATTAACAATGAACCTTTTACAATTAAGATGTAAAACTTGGAGAAAAGAAAAATAGAACCTGAAATGGTTAGAGATCCGGAAGACATGAACTTCATCCTGTTTTCACTTGATGGCGACAGACTCCTGCCATTTTTGAGCCACCTGATGAGAGGAACTGGATGCCCACTGGCAGAGCATTGGATGTGGGCCACCTCACCAACAGGCAAAGTTTGATTGAAAGGAAGGCTTGTGATTATCGGTGGAGGATTGTTGTAGAAATCTGTTCGTTAGAATTCGTTTTAAATAGCGTGAGATGTTAATATTTAGACATTTATTTGTTGTTCACTGTTGAAAGATTTGTAAATAAATATTTAAATCCGTCGATATTTGTTAAAGCTATTTAATTTTTATTACATCAGCGCATAAATTATAACATGTAGTGACTATTCAAGTTTTATAGGCGGTTTAATAATGAACCTGGTGAACAAATACATTGGACAAGTACTGATAATTTAACAAGGTTCAAAACAGTTGGATCTGAATGTTACTGTAACTAAATTCAATCTTTAGAAATGTGAACGAAATTTAGATGTTGAAAATACTTGAACACATTGACGCATCTGGTGCCTGTATAACTCACTTGTGAGGTAAGAGATGAAATTGAAACTTTTAATATTGACTGATGTGAAATAATAATCAATGAAAGTGTGATATAATGACTCCAACCTTTTACAACAAGTTCAGCTGTCATGAAACTTTGACCAATTTCATTGGTCACCCTGCAAGAATAATGACCTGCATCTTCTTTTCTAACTGGATCAATGACCAAGGTACCATCATTACCTACACGCACATTCTCATGTGCAGTTCCTGGAAACAGGATGGGCTGTAGAGATGGAAATATGTAATAGAGCAAACATGTAACAAAATAGAGTAACAAAATCAAACTTAAACAGGATCAGTTAAAACTAAAAATCATTCTTTAAAAACAAATTTTTACTGAAAAATTACATGTGAATCATTTATAATCCAGTAATAATTTGGTTGTGGATTAGCGGTGAACTCGCAGTGGAAGGTAACTTTGCGACCCACCCCAGTCACACGACTCATGCATTCCGTCAGGATTGTTGGCTGTGCTGTACAAGTTTATTTAGTGTCTGTTAGTTCCATTTATTATGCAGAATTAACTACTAAGTTATTTGCTGCTTCATAAAATACAAGTGTTTTGCTATTCTAAAACTGTTGAATAGATAGGAACAGAAAAATGATAATTAATGAAATGGAAAAAAGGATAACAAAGTGATAACTAACTGAAGACTGTCAAGTTAGCTTCAGCCATTGCAACTCCAAACTGATTGCTGGCCTTGCATGTGTAGATTCCTTCGTCAGAAGGCTTCAACTGCTTCAATACCAAACTCTTGTCCTCCAGTATGCTGAGTCTTGGTTAGGTTTCATTATAGCCACATTAAATAACAAATAAAGATTAGAATAGTTTCGTCAATCAGCTTTGTAAATTTGATGTAGAGATGCAAATTAGTTGTATAGATAAACACAAAATCTTCTAAAAAAAAGTGAATTTTAACATTATCATAGATAAAGATAAAAATGTCTTAAAAGAGACCTGGTCTTTGGCATGATTCCAGGAACTTTGGACCACTCAATGACTGGTTCTGGATCTCCAATGACCTGACAAGAAAAACGAGCATCGGATCCCTGCTTCAACTGCAAGCTGTCGGGACCAAGCAAAATTTTTGGTCCCTCTGAATAGCGGCGTAATAAACGTGTTTTATTGACAAAATATATTTAAGAGAAAGTATGTTTGATTCAAGTATTTCAACTTCATTTTGTCATGATCAAAGCTATTATATATAGATATTATCTTAAAGTGTTAATCCTTTGCTCCAATAAATTAGTTTAGTTCTAGATTAAAAGACCTGGGGCAAGTCAAGTATCAAGTGAGCTACCCTATTCATTTTAGTTGTGCATCTTAAAATCTGTCTATGGTGAATTTCGTAAAATCTTTACTTTCTGTTTGCTCTGCTTTTAATATAACAATTAAGCATTGATAAAACAAAAAAAAAACACGAAGATATAAAACTAATATAAAAAAAGATAATGTTTATTGTTCTAGATATCTATCAAAAAACCTTTCAAAATGAGTTTAGATTCAAAAGTAATTTTTTGAGCATTGTTAATGTTGATGACACAAGAGTAAGTGCCAATATCATCTTTCCTTATATCTTTAATGATGATTGAACCATTTCTGAAGAGCAAAATTTTGTTGGACTCATTCAACTTCACGTCATCTTTCATCCAGGTGATTGTTGCATCAACTTGTTGAGGTCGACAGTTCAACATGACCGTCCAGCCTAGTGAAACATCTGTCGATCTTGGAGGCTCAAGGATTTTCTGGCCTGTTGATTCAATGCAAAAGTGAGAATTATAAAAATTATAATCCATATGTTTTGACCTGTCCATTTGAATAAACTGAAATGTTTGTTTTTGTTTATAAGACCAAAGTTTGAAAATTCAAGGTTGGTCATTTCAAAAACGAAAATTTAAAGAGAAATCCATGACTCAAACATCTTTCAATGACTAAACATTTGGCCTTAACACTTATTTTATTTCTTTATGAAAAAAATACAATATTTGAATCTTTAAACACTAAAAAGTAAATGATTATAAAATTCATAAATAAATAATAAAATAATTGTCTTAAAAAAATATGGCAGAAAGAATAAAGTATAATTTACATTAGACAAAATTTCATTTTCTTCACTACATTCTCTTTTAATGTGGCAACTAAGAGCTTAGAGTCAGAATTAGATATACAATTTACAACAGTATATGTATTTTTATAATACATGTAGATGTAAATAAAATGCAGGCATATGTGCACAAATCTTATCTCTAACTCTAACAATTTCAACCTAATTAACCCTGCATATTAAAAATAGTATTTTTACCACATCATCACAAAATCAGGTGCTTAGAAACAATTAACTTCCCTTCTAATCCAACTTTGTGCACATCTTTACTTCATTATGCATTTTTACATGATTCTAGCTAATGATAAACTGATGGTGCACAATCAATAATATCTAAATTTTATTTTGACTTTGACCACTTCTCCGTTCAGCTCTCAAACTTAATGTATTTAATTTAATATTAGAGATTCAGATTTGACTTAGCCATACTAGGATATTTGTTAAAATAACAATAAACGTACTTAGTTACAAATTTTTTACCATGATTAAGCTATTTTATAAATAAAATTATATAAATAACAAATCAAACAATTCAAAATTGTTAACAACATGTCACATTGACATACACACACACTTACTTATAAATTTCACTGTTGCATTCCTACTTACAAAAATGGATTTAGTTTCTGGATTGGTAGCAATGCAGTAATAAACTCCAGAAAGTTGTTTGTAATGGTTAGGCTTGTTAGATGATTGGGACCTCAGTGTGTGATTGTCTTGTATTGTTAATAGTTTATTCCTAAGTCCATCAATTAAATTATTGTTATGGTACCAGGTTATTTGTGATTTATTTCTATCATCTGATTCACATTTTAATTGCAGGTGTTCACCAATTGTAATGTTCACATCTCTGGGATGTTCTTTTAACTGTCGGATTTCTTCTTCACCTTTGAACATCCAAGCTAAATTTTCAATTCAAATGAAAATAAATCATGAACAAAACAATAATAAACTGACTTCAAAATATAAAAATTAAACTAACATATTAATAAAATAAGTTTAAAATAAAAAAAAGAAAAGTGTATGACAAAAATTTGTAATGTAATGTAACTAAGCGTAAATTCGTAATCATTCATTAATAATTAATGATTAATCATTAATTCATTAATTAATCATTAATGTTAATCAATCATCAATGCAATGCAAACCTTCAAATTGGAAGAAAAAAAATGTTAGCAATCCTACAACAAGTTGAAACTGTTCGCAAATCATCTTCAAACTTTCAGTGAGAGAAAAACGTTCGACTACTTCAAATTTTATGAAATTTCAATTAATTAATTGCCGGTGGCAACAGGACAGTGAAAAAAACGAACTCCATGACAGCTGTCTGGTAACCAACGAATAAATATTTATTATTTAATGTTAATTAGTTCTATGATTTCAAAAGTTTTAAATTAGCCCCGGTGAATATCCTTTTAACTTTATTAATTCACTGAAAATTACCGGTAGCCATTATGAAACAAAATATTATATGTTGATGCATTTAAATGCCAATTAAACTAATTAACATTTAGCCGGTTACGACTGGGTTGCACTTATGCTGGTGGTTTAACTACTTGATAAACTCCCAGCGGTTCACACTCGGGTTTCATTTAATTCTGTATGCATCAAATGATGGTGATGTTGATGATGGTACCCGCATGTCAAATGGCTAGCACACAGCAGTCCAGCTAAGCTTGCATACATACACACAGTTTCGTACATAATTTATACGAATTTTTTAAACAATACGACCGAATACAAAGGAGCGCACAAAACCATTGAACAATATTGTCGGTCTTGTGCCATGTTAAAACATTAAACCTTAGATTACATACGCACTACTAAGAAGACAGTTACGCGCAAGAGTCGATACTAAAAGTGTATGTATGTACGGTATGAACATACGTAGAAACGTACGTACACGTTCGTTGTACGCACATCGATGTGCGTTATGCAGAAGTGTACTATGCTCTCCGAATTTGTGCTTCTCTTGCTGTCTGTCGTAAATAGATCGGAATCTTTAATTAATATAATAGAATTTATCAACTATAAAAATAACCTGTTATAACGTCACGTGTAGTGTCAATAAATATACATTTCATTTTTTCCAACAGCTGCCAACAAATAAGTAACATTTAAGCATTATGTTGGAAATGCTTTTCAAATTTTTATCAATCAAAGATTTGTTCAAAACTTAAAATTTGATTCTTCTTCTTCTTAGTAAAAATTAGGTTGCGTTATCATATCATTGACTGACGTCCAATGAACTATGAAAATTTTGAATCTTGGTTGGCGTTTAACAGCATCATCTCCTCAGTTAATTCACGTAGAGCATGTTTTGATGTTTATAGATCAATTAAAAAATATGAAGACTTTAATGTTAACCAGCAAATAACTTATATATTTGTTGTTATTTGCTGTTATAAGTTATATAATATATGAAAATCACGGCATGTTCCGCTTTAGTTAGCTCTTCCTGTTTAATTTTTCGATTTTTCTAACGGTAAATCATTGTCAAGTTTCTTGAGTTCAAAACATGTGGGCAAACAAATTTTGTCTGTTATCGCAGCAGAAGGATCCTGAATTTGTGAAGCAATTTCGTGACTGTTAATCGTGAAGAAACCATGATCATTTATTATTGCGATGCTATTTTTGATATTGGTCATGTGTTTCATAGATGTTTCCTTCGTATTTGTATTGCCCTTGTTTCAACTATACAATGCGTTCACTTATTTATAGATATGAACCGTTTTCCGAAAAGTTGCCAAGCTGCTAAGTTTTTGCCAAGATGCTTATTTCATTGTGTTTGGAAATGTGTTGTGCTACACGGTTTAATTTGCTATTTGAGTGAGTTGTTCATGTGCGTTAATACAGCTGTTAACATAGAAGACTTATTAGAATATTTTTGTCGAAAGTTGTCAGTTTATCCTATTTATCAATGTCAAATATTAAATGGGATGCAACGTTTTTCGAGGTGAATTGAAATCTTGATTAAATAAGATGAAAAGAGTTGTGAACGTGTAAATTATTAAAATAAGTGAGGAAGGGATTTGTATTTGTGAAACTTTGCATCGCTGTCAGTCATCTGCACCACTTGATGCAATAACAACGATCCGTTGTTTTACTTTAAGAGTAGCCTACGCAAGATATGTAGCAAAATTGACCTGTAAATGAAAAACTGTAACAAATGTTTATATTATAATATTCTAATTCAACCATAAATCTCCAAATTTTATAAAGACGAAAATATTTAGAAAAGCTGGGCTAACTTGTATATTACTTTCTTCAAGAAAGCTTATCCTCCCAGGCATCTATCTAGCCAGTGCGTGTCAACAACTCATTTTATGCGAATGAACAGATCATTCTCAGCAAGAAAAATGTTTTTCCATATATAAAATTTAAGTAAGGAAAAATATTTCATCTACATGTAAAATGGCTTATTCACAATTAAAAGAGCTGGTATTAAAACAGTACCCCATGCGTTTTATTTTGTTTTTTTATTCATATCAACAGAATGATTAAATAAATAATATAATGTTTGCGAAATGAATTAAGCTGCTTTTTTGGTACACTATATAGGGCTGGAGAAACCAATCGCGAGTTGCATGTGATACGGTACAACCTTCCAAGCACTTCCTGGCAATGAAATGAATGAACGTAAATTTAAAATGTAAACAATAAACTGCTACAAATTTTGTTTTTGCTTATACATTCAAAACAATTAATGAAAATGTAAACTGACTACACTCATATGTAACATATAGATATGCATACATCTGTTAATAATTCACTAAAAAATTATACATGGACCCGCATCATCTTATATAGAAGTTGCTAAAATTGTACGAATAACCGTTTTCTATGGGTGTAAAGTTATATATACATTGACGTCTGATTTCCAAATTGTATTTTACAACAGTCCAATTGTATGCAATGCCACGTAGAAATTTCATCAGTGACCTGTTGGCACGCCTTCTAACAAAGCTGCCAAACAGGATATTATACGTTCTGCGCTGTTTTATATACACTATTTTTCCGAAAGTTTTTGTATCTGTATTTTTAAAATCAGACACTGACAAACTATTATTTTGTTTGCAGTTACATATATATTACAATATGATCATAATAAACTATAATATATGACAAATATACATTTATAACTCACTGAATTGAGTTTCAAGTCATTGCATCGTCAAACGTTTTTAAATCGTAATTATTATTTTCATTGCTTTTCTGTTTTTTTTTTAATTTTAAAAATTTATACTCTGCGCTAGGAATTTGTGACACCTTATTCTTGTAAACAGACAAGATAAAACATACTGCGACGTATAAGAGGCAGTCGTAAAAATGTAATTACGACTTGCAAGGGACAGCGAAATGAAAAATACAGGCTAAAAGTGTCATACATAAACGTGATTGAATTAATCTATTATCTACACAGTCATTTCTTCCCCATCTGTGGAATAACGTTTGACTTGATTAAATATAAGAAAGTATGATTTATATTTTCATAAAGATTTCTAATGTTCGAAACGATAAAATCTATCCTATTATTCATGTCGACCTATCGTTAAATGTTTATTACTAATCTTGACACTATTCATAATACTATTTTATAAAATTATTTTTATAATCCAACCCTATTAACTATAAAACTATAAATAAAACTTTTCTATTTTCAAAAGCTTACACCAAGTCAAAACTTCGTTTTATTCGTGTTTCTTTCATTGAGATATAACCACTGAACTGAATATAATTTATTTTATATGTCGATAGTTTCTTTTCGATTCAACCATATTATACATGGTTAATTTTTATATATCAATCATTATTCATGATATTGATAATAATCTACATAAAATATTTTAAACTGTTATCGGCCAAATTGTAGCTTACGAGAGAGGGGGGTGTGAGGTTGAAAAATTATTATGTATACTTTACATGGAGAGGTTTCAAATTTGTGACAGTTAGCGTCAGAAGAAGAGAAAAATGAAAGTGAACGCAAAGAAGCGTGAAATCTTTCATGGACAGCCTCTATTTATTTTGTTATAGGGCGGCATGATGATATAGTGGTTAAAGGCGCTTGCCTGGTTTTGTCTTGCTGGGCATGAAGTGACCTGGTCCGAATATGACAAAAGGATTTTGCTATAACATGCTTTGTGTGTTATGCGTCGTTTAACACGTATTCATATAAGCGTTTTGTGTGTTGTTGATTTCTCTGAAATTTGAAAAACATTGTATTCATTCCTTTCATTTTGCACCAGCTTTTGCCTTTTCCAACATTTGATTTTTATAAAAAATACAAAAACAAAAAGACCTTTCTAAACTTTTTAGACCCACTAAATTAAAATTTGACATTCATGCATACACAGTCTGAAGTAGACAGATGTTAGGAGCGTACTTTTTTGTTACATTACAGAACTGATGGTTGGTTAAGTATTTTTAATAAACAACTCTTGCTCTTTAAGGCACTTAACGTTCGTGACGTTATCGTGGGTAACTTAACAATGGTCGAATTTTACTTGTTTGTTGATCAATAAACATTTAGACAAAATTTAAACAATAACAAATATTTAATATTTTGCTATAACTTTATCTATTAATTTTAATTTTTAATCAACTGTAATTTTTTTATCGGTAAAATGAATTGGATTAAAAACAAAAGAAATCAGATTCAAACTGCTGGCAATCACCAGACATCGGCTGGGGCTGGAGGTCGTTATGAATCTATAAAATATCATTTCAACAGCGACGATACACCCGACAAAAAATTGAGAGAAACATGGGATGATATCAGGAAAATTATTCTATCAGATCAACAGAGGATCAGAAACATCGATCTTCCAAATATTGAATTCACAACTCCTGCAAAGAACAGCATCTCCAGTGTTTCTGAACTTGTTCGAAACATGACACAGTTACTGCTGTCAGCTAGCGAAGATTTCAACGAATTGGATCCAACCATAGTTGATTTCCTACATACTGAAAAAATATTAGAGACTTTATGTCATTACACTAAAAAATGTTATAGTAAGAGAGAAAACGTCGATCATATGTTTGAAACGCAGCTAGATTTGTATGAATTCTTAACAACTAGTTCAAATCAAAAACTTTTATATCACAAACAAATTATAGAACCCCTCCTTCAGTTTGTTACATTGTGCTCCATCAGAATTGATTTAAATGACACTAGTTGTGAGAATTTAGATTTGAAGTTTATATCCATCTTACACCAGTTATGCATTGGCATTACAGTTCACACTGAAATCTTAAATCTACTATTCACTAGCTCTCAAAATGAAAGTGAATCTGACAGATTTCCAGTTTTCAACTTGCTGATACCATATGTTCATCGGGAAGGTTATATAGGGCAGCAGGCTAGGGATGCATTACTGCTTATAATGTCACTCTCCACAAAGTATCAGCAAATTGCCTATTTTGTTGCCAATCAGTCCAACTTTTGTCCTGTTGGTTCTTCAATATATTTTTTTATTGAATTTAAGTTGCCTGTTGTTGGATTAGATTCTTTATTGAAGTCCGCGCTATGTTAGATTAATGATTACATAATTATAATGAATATTTTTGGAAGGTTCTTGCAACTGGCCTCAGTGGTTTGTACTCCTCCCTGCCATGCAAACTTGAGTATCCGTCAGATGATTGGCACCACATTTCAGATGATGACCTTGCCACGATGCCTGAACTCAAAATGTTTGTTAACTCCCTTGAATTCTGCAATGCTGTCATTCAGGTCAGTCAGGGGAGTGATGTTGGGTTGGGCAGTTATGTTGCCTATATCTTTTATAATATTTTTCATGCCAACAACATTGTGATCAATGGTCTAACTTTTGTAACATTAAATAATGAAATTCATTTGCATGATTCTTGAGAACATGTCGGTCAATCAATCAGTCAACATTGATTAAGATTGTGATTTCATTAAACGATTTACACTTATATTTTAATTATTTTAACTGTGGTCATAATTATTTTCTAATCAGTAATTAATATTATCACAATTAAAATATTTGCATGTTCATCATCATCATTGTTGCCGTCGTCATCACCACCATCATCAACTTTGGTATCATCATTATTAAGGCTTTTATATTTCTGTTCAGCCATCATTTTTTTCATCACCATCGTTGTTATCATCATCATGTTGCCAACGTCATAATCATTACCATCGTTGTCATCATCATCATCATCATTCTTATTATTAATCTTTTACGTATGTATTTATATGTACTTTCAGGTTTCTCATAGCTCTATATGCAGTAAGTTGTTGGAGTTTGTTGTCAATGGCTTCTTGCTGCCTGTTGTTGGACCTGCTCTCAATCAGGTTGGCTTGCTGCTGTCTGCTTTCTGTCTGTCCTGTTAACTCAATTCAATCATTTCCAACATTTAATGTGCTATACACACTCAATATATGTTAACTATATATATATAGTTGGAGACATGTTGGAGACATATATATAGTTGGAAACTATATATATATCATTGGAGACATGTGTGTGCATCCTGTAAGCAATCATATGATCTGTCATGTCTGCTTGTTGGTTGGTGGTCTGTTTTGGACCTTTCTTTATAAGTCTGCTGTTTTTTTAATGGGGCTCATTCATTGGATGACTGGTTCTACAAGACAGATTTTGTTCTCAAAAAAGAATTTTAAGTAAATTAAAAAAAATTTTTGTTTGAATTGGTGCCTTTTAACAGTTACTTCCTCCTTTGATGACTGTTTGATTAAGTTTTTATGTGTTTGTGTGTGTGTGTGTGTGTGTGTGTGTGTGTGTGTGTGTGTGTGTGTGTGTGTTGAAAGTAAATAATAAAAGTTTGGGAATATTAAGCTATAAATACACTATATTAAAATATGTAAATCTATATTTATGATACTGTGTGCATGTGTTTGTGTGCGCGCGTGTGTGTGCATGCTTATCTGTTTCAACACAAAACAGAGCTCAATATCATAGTTTGTAATGCATGTTGATATAATTTTGATGTTATATTTATCTTTTTGTGTTGTGCTTGCAATATTCATGAAATACTTCACAGATTTTTTCAAATGCGTTTATATGAAGTTGCTTATTATGTACATTTTACATATACAAGAATTTTAATATGGTCAAAAAATGCAAACTATTGGCTCATAAAAATTGAAATTTCCTTTTATCTCTGATTTAGATTGGAGTTTATATAATTCATTTCAATTGAATGAGTTAGTTACAAAACAATTTCAAGTGAAATGAGAAGACCACATTTGATGGCAATTGTGATGAAAATATTTAAAATCAATGTTTGAATTTGAAGCAGAGACTATATATCAATAATAATAATAATAATGCATTATGTAAATGAATACTTACTATTTGAACTTTTAACTTTAAATGCCACTCAACTGAATATTTAATACTGAACATTTGAACATTAACAACAACAACAACAACTATGATGTCATAGAGTTTAATGTCATCTGGAGCATCATTCCCATCTACATTGGAAGATTCATTTGTTCTCATCGACATCAACAAAGATTATGATGGCTTGATTGTGGTAATTCGACAACTTTCCTATTTTCACATTACAATCTTAGCGCAGATTAAATTAACACCTGAAGTACTAATCAATGCACAAATTTTTAAATTACGCTCTAAACTTGGAATGCATTACATGGAGGAACTAAAACAAAAATTAAACTAAATACTATGGCAGTTGGAATGTGTTGGAATTTTCACAATTACGTGCTTTCCATAGTTGCAAGTTTAAAACGCTAATTCTTGTTTCATCCCATCTGCTATTTTATTCATGACATAATACACTCTTGTTGTTTAATTGCTTATGAACTCTAAATTGTTTATGAGACAAATTAATTTAATTATTAGTTTAAGTTTTCATAAACTTAAAAGTTGAACTTTTTATATGTTTTTTTTCAAATTATTGTACCAATATTAAAGTCTGAAGAACATATTTCATGCATTCATTCATTACATTTCCATTTATTAATCTTATCAATGATCTAGACACATTATCGGCTCTTTTTCATGCTAACTTGTCTGCTTATTGCTTATATGTATTTCTTAGAGAATGTTTACAATTTCCTATTAATTATTATTTTACATTTATTTCATTTCACTTCTAGGATAATATTAGAATTAATAAATCTGTTTTTCATGCTTACTTATGGCAGTGCGTTTGATCATCATCACAAATGATTTGCAGTCAGTTGAACCAGTATTTTGTGTGGTGGTTGTTTGGGATTCAATAATGAGAATGGATTCATTCAGATGGTTAATTACGATATGTAGTAATCCATCGCATTGGCTAGATGTTTAGTGAAAAATTTGCCCTCAATGAACAAATCTATTACTCTCGGTGATATCAGTAACAGCATGTAGTAATGGTAATAGCTGTAGTAGTATTATTATTTGTCGCTTCAGTAGTAGTAGTTGCAGCGGCAGTAGTAGTAGCAGTAGTAGTATAAGATCGCCAGTTCAGTGTTTTGTTGCAATCAATCACAGAGACTTTTATGATCGTCGTCTTTTATCTAGTCTTTTCTATGTAAAAATTATGTCTGAATCGGTTTTTTTTTCATATATTTCTTGGAAAAGATTTAAATAATTTAAAAATAAAGTATAATTTTATGTAATTGCGTGCGTGTGTGTGTTGCGTTTAAAAAGAACGTGATGTTTATTCATGGTTGTTTCAGAACACAATGTCATGATTGTATGGATGGATGAATCATTTACATGCTATCGTGGCATATTTGTTATTTATTGCAATAACATTATTATTGTCATTGTGTTTCAATTTATAAATCAGGATCTGTTGAAGTATCCCAGCAGATTCCATGATCTCATGTTGTTGGTTAGTTGTGAGTGGGTGGGTGAGTGTATGAGTGACGGAATAAATGAGTGAATAGATGAACAACTAAATGAATGAATGAATAAGTGAGTAAATAAATGGGTGAGTAGATCAGAGTGAATAACAAGCAAAAGCAAAAGAATGAGTGATAGTGATTATTTTTTTGGTTAACTTGTTAACGCGAGTGATTGCTGTGCACGTTATTACAGGCTTTTGTAGATTTTCTGTATTTAAAAATATCTTAATCTAATTATTATTTTTTTTTTTTTAGAAATAATAAACTTATTGCATGTTAAATAAATATATGTGCGTTTGTATATTTAATCATGTACATTTATCTACATTTGCAGTTGTTTGTTTTGTTTTAACTTGCTGATAAAAATATGTAATGTAACACAGCAATTCAATTTCTTCTCCCCCCTCCCCATTTCATTTGATCGAATGCATATGTTGGAGAAATGTATTAAAAAAGAATATTTATAGCGCGTTTCTTCTTCTTTCGTCTGCCTTATCCTTTCAGGACATTGGCGACCATCGACCTTCACAAAACCCGATCTTTAACAGTTTGTAGTAGTTGAAATGTGGTGATATTCAACAAGTGACACAAGGACTTCACAAATGTTAATCGTTGTTGACCGCGATCTCTTCCCCTGCAATCTTTCCAGTAGTTTTTAGATTTTCCATTTGGATTGCTTCCGTCGGATTATCTGTATCAATTTCTTCTTTTCATAACCTGACTGTTTTAATACATCCTCATTCGAAGTATGAGAGGTTCAATTAATTTTCATAATACTTCTCAAAAACCACGTATTAGCCGTAAATCAATGCAATAATTTATTTTATTCTATATATTATATAAAAAAGGAAGAGTGACCTTTTTTATGTTTAACGACTCATTTTCTTTACGCTATTCTGTCCATTTCTATTAAGCTATTCTGTTATTATTGTCATTTCATAATATTGTCGTTTTCAAGTTTCAACATGTTCAGTATAGACTAGAGTCTGATATTTTAAAAGAGTAAAACAAGTTAGTTCCAATCTCGCCTTTCGATATATTTTGATTTATTTCCCTCTTTAATATGCATCTGAACATGTCTCTCTTGAGACTGTTAGATGAGTTTTTAGATGTACCAACATCACTTCTCCAACATTTTTCCCCCAAACAGTTTAAAAACCGTGATAATGTGATACGATAAACGTAAAATAATCCTTATTTGAGTTGGTGTGTTTATATATACTTATGAAAAATAATCAGATAAATTATAAAGTGCAGAGAATATTGGGTTGTTAATGCAGGGTTGAATGACACCAACATTCATTATTATATTCATTATTTTTCACATTTACACCAACATTCATTATGTTATTCATCTATTATGTTCTGTACTTCGATGTCATGCCTATGGTCTTCAAATTTAATTTTAAACTGCCTATTATTTATATCTCAAAAGTTTAATCTCTTTAGCTATAAATTTATTTAATGCATGCTTGGTATTTTTATAATTTTATTGAAAGTTTATTCAATATTTTTAACATTCATTTGTTCGTGCACTTATTTCAATTCAATGTTTTTGCATGTTTATTTGAACTGTGTGATATGTCTTCTTCTTTTTCGTGCTTTATCCTTTCAGGACCTCCACAAAACCCGATCTTTAACACTTTGTAGTAATTGAAATGGGTGATATTCAACAAGTTTCAAAAACCACATCTTTTTTTCCATTTCTTAGAAATTGTCCAAAACTCAGAGCCGTAAGTTAACACAGGAAAAATGTAACATCCTAACAGTATTAATTTTGTTGGTATTCTGATTTTTCATTTAAGAATATGCATCTTTCGCCATAGCTATCCTTCTTTTGATACCCACATCACATTTACAACTTGAGGTAATCAGACTTCCGTGATAATTGAAGCTATTGACTTGTTTCACCTGTTTACCGTTAATGATTATGGAGCAGATCGGGGCGATTGTGATATGTAGCATTTTTTTATTATTCATTATTCAATTATTTATTTATTTATTAAAATTCTCTCTTTAATATTCTTTGGAAACATCATCAACACAGTGCACACAAATTTTTAAATACACGTGAAACAATGCGTCACGTGCGAACGAACCCGGTCGCTGCAGTCGCTGCAGTATCAGTGCCAAGCACTTAACCGTTGAACCACCGCGCCGCAAGTATCTATATATTTTTTTGGGAAAGATAAGATCAGCAAAGCAATTTAACAGTGCTTTTTCTTATTAGAAGAAAGACAAACTTAACTGAACTTCCCACTCTGCTATGTGCATCTTCTCTAGTTTTAGTTTAACTTCATTTTTTGCCTTTGTATGCTTGAAAATAATTGCATTTTTTTAAGTAATAAATTTTGATATTAAAATTTATAGCAACATCTTTCTCTAAACTGCTTTTTAAAATTTATTTTTTAACTTTATTATTAATTAATGTTTTAGCGAAATTGGGAGTTCGTTTTTTAAGGATTTTTTCTGTTGGTTAAATTAATCTTCAAAACCCAAATTAACATTTTTTCTAGCTAGATACTTAACGCAAGTGGCTTGAATGTAGTAGTAGTTTGTTACTACTATATATATTCCAAATATATATATTATATTCCAAAGCCATGCAGTAATATTACTTTGGAGTTGCATGGCTTTCAGCTTTTATCAAGCATTAATTAATAACACTTGGTTGTTTGTTTGTGTATTTAGTTGTTTGTTTGTTTGTTTGTTTGTGTGATTGTGTTTGTTTGTTTGTTTGTTTGGTATCTTATTAGAATTACTTTGTCTACTTTCATTTTTATTTCTTGACTTCAAAAGTTTATTAACAGTTCAACTGCTAGAAATAACAAACTAACAAATAGTGTTAACAATGAATTCATGAATGCATTAGATATGCAAATATGTGAAAATAATTAAATTGTTAATTGAAAAATTAATAAATGTTTTAATTTCGAAGATTCTTATTTTTGAATTGTTATTGTAATTTGATTAGCGAATTCTAAGTATTATATTTACAATAATAATAATAATTATTATTATTACAATAATGATGATAATTATAATAAGAAAAAGTTGTCATTGAACCAGAGTACGATCGAAGAAGTGACAGCCGCTACTGCCTACCTGGATCTCTTCATCCGGAAGATCACGGAACCCAGCCTCCTGAAAGTTTTCATCGACTTCCTCTTGAAAGGAAAGGTTGATGAAGTCAGCATTATGGACCTGCTCATCACCAGGATATCGAGTCAACTTACCAGGGTTTGTTTCTGTTTGTTTTTCTCTGTGTGTTTGTTTGTTGGTTTGTAGTAATTGTAATGCGTCATACTGGAATGATTTATTAAAATAGTTGAAAATATTTTTTTTTTAAACCAGCTCTGTGTTGTCACCCTAACTCTCTTCAAATCCCTCATAGATTTAAACTGTGAAGATGTCATGTTCCATCTTGTTTACAAGTATCTACTAAGTTGATTGTTGCTTTTTAATCCTCTTTCAATAGCTTATAACAGTTCTTTATGTTTTTAAGAGACGTTCAATTTAAATTGCATTCTACTTATTTGAAAAAAAAACAAGACTGATTGATAAATTAAACTGTAAACTTGTATACTTGTAAATTGTAAACTTGAATAAACCGCGTTGTTGTTATATATCCATCTAATAAATTGAACAACACGTAGATACCTGCTGCCATGCAAGCACATAATGTTGAGTCAGCACAGGGTAATCAAGCAGATAGACTACCACAACAACGATGCCAAGAAGTTCCTATCCTTGATGCCTCAATGTTTCGTCAACACACCAGCACCACCAAAAACAACAACACAGACAACAACAACGACATCTACAACGTTGTTGGACAGCATTTCAAAGCACAGTTCTGAAGACGCCTTCTCAATTCACAGTGCCAGTACAGATTACAACGACGAAATCAACAATTCATTCGATCCTCTGAACAACACAAACAACAACTCCAACACACCTACGCAGTCTTTTCTACCGAAATCTACAAAGTATATACAACCTCGTTGCGTTTCTGCTTTGTGTCTAGTTGTTGATGATATAATGGTGGTTGCATGATATTTCATGTGCACTAACATAGTGGATTGGTATTATCTTTTTTTCACTACTGAACCACATTTTGTTTTCAACTTGATATGCGCTTGTTTAGTTCTGCACCAAGTTAAGTCTGCATGGGATTTGTTAGCTCAGTATCAAATTAAATGTATGCAATAATTTTTTTTACTATGGCAGAAACATGCACAAAATCCAGCACAAGAGCGGATTCTAACTTTTAATATTCTTCTGTAGATGACAATTTTGACATGTGGCTGCCAAGTGCTTAAGTATCATTCAGTCACATCTCACAATCTGAATTATAAGATATTTGTTTCAAAATATTTTTTTTTGATGAAAATATTATTTCATTTTTGCTGAGGTGAAGTTGCAAAACTGATATTTATGAGAACATGTTATTTACTTGGTAATAATGCTGGATAATTTATATCGTAACAATGATATCATTGTCTTTTAAACATTACTGCTGCACAATTTGCAGTTACCATGCATTTTATTTGCTTTTTAAAATGTTAAGGGAATGTCATTTGTTTTATTTTCTAGACTCTGCAACAAAATATGTCTCTTGTTTTTAATATTTTAACATTATAAATTAATAAATTAACAAAAGCTCGTGTAGTGCTAACTAATCGTGATGTTTTGCTAACAATCCTTTCAACAGGTTTGCTAAGTTGAGTTTAAAAAATAAAGGTTATTTGGGAATGCTCACTAACTCTCCAATGAAAATAAATACATCTAGGTTCATTTTTTTCATTTGACATTTACTAACCCATTTTCCATTTATTCATTAATGTAATGATATGTTGATGCAATCGCTTAATGATGCCAGTTTTTATGTTGTAGTATTTGTAGTTCATAGTTTGCTCTAATCATTGCTTCAATTTAATCGTCTAATGTGTAGTTGTTTTTAATTAAATTTTAATTAAATTTTAAATACTTCTGTGCATTGTCCTAAAATGCTTACTTCACTGCACTCATTTGCTTACAGGTTAACTGCTGAAACACCGCCAAGGACTCCCAAATCATCTCTGAACACCTCCCAACAACCTGCCACTGCACCACTTTCATCATCGACAACAACACCGCCAACAGCAACGTCAACAACTGCAACAACAACGTCAATTGAGGATTACTCCTCGTATAGCCACTACTTGCGATATGCCCACTTCACGGTGTTGAATTGCAAAGAGGCGTGCAGCAGATGGTCACTAAAGTATGATGGCTGCCATCTCTTCAACGACGTCTCATCTAGAGACAAATCTAATGAAGAAGACCAGTTGAATAAAACGTTGAAAAATGATGTGATCGCATCGTCCTCCTCATCAACAACAACGACGACGTCAGCAGCAGCAGCAGCAAAATCTTATTCTAAATATTATCACATCTGTGGTGACATTACAGACAGCAATAGCAACGAGGATGAAAAAGAGGCAGATGCCAGGGATAAAAGTCAAACAGCATCCACAAACCCAGTGGACCAGGATCAGAATGCATCTGGAGATCATGAAGATTTATACGAATTTCTACAAAAACTGAATGAGATTGCACTACCAAGTGAATGTTTGAAAAGTTCTTCAGAAATCATGAGGGAGATGGATGAATTATTTTTAAAATATAATGTAGATGTTGGTTCAGATTCTCTTGGTAAACAATCTCTCGTCGCAGATGATGTTGTCAATGAATCTGGAATAATCAATGGAGTAAACATTACACATCTTTATAAGCTGTGTTCATCTCTGCCTGACAAACCACTTATAGGTTGGCTCTGTTCATTGTCATTGTTACATTTATCGTTGTCATCATCGTCTCTTTTACCATCTTCTTATCATTCTCTTGTCTTCCTTTCATCATCCTCACCATCTTCATCTCCATCATCATCTTCATCATCGTGATGATTTGCCATCTGATAGGACCCTTCTTGGAGTCGTTGATGGATAGAGTAGATCGCATGATGCATAGCACGCTGTACGTCAACCTGCACCTAACTTCAATCCTCTCGAGACTTGCTTGTTACCCTCACCCCCTCCTCACTTCATTCCTCCTCAATCAGAATCTCGTCTTCCAACCGTCCGTCAAATCTCTCTATCAAGTAATTCCGTTTGTGTCAGATTGTATCGTTTCGTGGTTCGGTTTCTATTTGTCTTGAAATGTAGTTTTTAAATGTCTTTTTTCTGGGTTCAATATAATAATCCCAGCTCCAAAGTTTATTTAATCATAGCTTCAGTACTGTGGCTAGACACAAGTTTTAGTTGATTGCCAGAAAGATGGGTGCTAGACAAATATGTTTAATATTATTTAAATTGAAAGGTACTGAACAGTGTTAGATTGCGATTGGATGATTACATCGGCAAGCAGAAGGATAGAGACATTTTATTGGCTCAAGCTCATCAGTTTCTTGTCTGCAGGGTCAACCAAGATCAGATGGCCAGCTCCACTAACGGTATTTAAATAGTTTTTGTTTGCTGCTTATCATTATTGTGATAGTTGCGTGATGAGTTCAATTTGAATTATGCCACAATGGAATACAGTGCGAACATTTTCGTTTTGAAATGTGTGACAGTGATGATAAAAATGATGATGGCGATCGTTATGGTGATTGTTACGGTCATCACCATGCTGACCAGTTAGTAGTGAGAGTGACCAACCCATGATGATTTTAACGATATGATATGGAATGATAAATTTTTATAGATGCAGGTAAAAGAAAGTCCTTTGATTTATTCCGAAGCAATCAAGCAGTTACTCCGTTGAATAAACGTTTGTTCTCCAACGCAAACAACAACTCGGCTTATTTCAAGAGACGAACAAGCAATAACCAAAACGCCGACGATACAAAGGAGAGCATTGAAAAAAGAAATGCCGTTTATGCGGTTGTCATTTTCAAAGAATTCATCAAAGAATTGGCTGCAATTGCTCAAGAGCAAACCGTCATCCAGTTATCATCTTTGTCATCTCCATCATCATCCTCACCATCATCATCGTTGTTATCACCATCGACGACATCACCACCATCCCAAACTTTATCACCGGTTATTCCATCACCTTCGTCATAGCATCTCTCCAAGTAATCTGCTGTACATCCTTGAACGAGTAAAATGCAACATTATCATATTTTATTATTTTACGTACGTCAGATATTACAAACATTTTATCAAACTATTCAGGTTTAATTATGCCAATTCATTATTTATTTCTTCATTTAAACATGTTGAAGTATTGAAATTTTATTTCTGTAAATTTACTGTTTGACTATTTCAGTGTTCCATTTTAAAATTTTTACTCTCATAAGACTGGGTTGATTCAAAACTATTTGGACAATTTTTCCAAAATTTTATGCCTGTCTTATGAATAAACTCTTTTAAATATTTTATAATTGTTACTGGTTGGTGTGGTTGATAAATTTTATATTAATTATATTTCTTATTGTTGCATAATGTTCAACGATTTTATTTTTCCGTCCTTTCCAATCATGACTCTTCATTCAACTGTTTGACGTGTACAAGAAGAAAGACTGCTGTTATAGATATTTTTGCACGTGTACATTTATAGGCGTGTATATAACTTCAAAATTAAAAAAGAATCAAACTTTCTTGACGAGTGTTTATTTCTAAGGTTTCCACACTAAGATGTTGTCATTGGTGTAACAACATTTAAACTTGCGTATTTTGTACGGGTATATTATGGTTCACAAGGTAAGAAATGAACCATTATTTCTGTTCAAGAGGCGTAACGCAAAGATCAAGCTTTTCATATTTTAAACAAATTTTAAAAAAAAGGTAGACTCTATACTTCTTGTTCAGACTTTAGCTGCCATACATAAAGTTGTACTAACGGCGAACTGGTCAGTGCAGCATCTGCTCCCTTGGGTGATGTTACATGTAAATTTTATATGTATTTGTATATGTGTTGAGATAGAGATTGAGAAAAGAGTGTTTATAAGTTGTAGTCGTGAGTTCTCAGACAGAAAAATGATAGCATCAATTTAAATTATTTTATTATAACCGGAAATGGGGTGTAATAATTTTTTCATTGGCAGTTTTAAGTTTTTCAATGGCTTCAGTAGACATCCACAAACTTCATTTAGCATTGATAAGTTGATTGCCTGCCTGAGCAAAAATACGGCTTCAGCTTTTTAGAGCCTACGAAAACTACACAATAAATTTTTGGCTTAGACGGGTGTTTTTCTCTTTCACTGCCCTATACCTATGTGTTGAATAGAATCAATTAACCAATCAATGTATTAGTATAACTCAATTTACGTAGTGTTCCAATGCGCTTTTTAACGCTTTACAAAATTATGCATCTTCTTGCAATCAAACTAGGCTCTGTCTTTACACCATCTAGACGTCAAAAATGTTTCTTATGATAACACAAATTGTTTTGTAACTTTGCAAATGACCTTAAAGAAATTCTATCAAAAGGAAGAATTCGTAACTGAGCATGAAATTTTAAACTAGAATAGTCCTATTGAATTTTTTGTCATAAACATTACACGTTCATTATTATATTCATAGCTCATTATTACAGTCCCTCACGAGCGATAAAATAATTATGGTGCATGATTCTGTTGCTGGTCAATTTTTAGTACTATAGCTCAATTCATATATTAAAATTCAAATGTAGCTGACCGGTTCAACATTGTGCTGCTTTTTTTGTTTTATGTATCAATAAATAAAACTAATTATATTTGTATGAAAATATGAGATTCCAAAATTAAAAAGTTCATGAAATATTCCAAAATTTACTGAATTGGCATTTTTATTGAGATATTAGCCGTAATGTGCATAGACCGAAATTGCACTTAAAGACTCTTTGGAATTCATCGCTATTTTGTTCTTTGTTAAGCTGAATAATTTTAATTTTCTTGTAATTATCGTTCTGCTGTGGAATTATTTTGTCTCGGTCGAGAGGAACTGCAGCTTATGATTTCCTAATTTGGTCACTGAACGGTGCTCCGCTTATCAAGTTGCGTAAGTTTCAATTCTCTTTATTGCTCAATTTTTCGTTTTTGTCTCGTTTAATCGATTATAATAAGTAAACGTTCCATGTAAAAAAAGCAACCAAAAAAATTCGGGTGCAAAGTAGAATGGATGGTTGTTGAGAATGTTGTTAAGACTAGCCCCCCTCGCCTTTGAATGTTATCAATTTAATATGCACTAATTCTTAATTTATGTGATTTAATAAGTGATTTTTTTAATGTTATTTAAATGTAGAATTTGACTTAACATTAATAAATTAACAATTAATTTTTTATTTTAAGATTAGAAATGACATTCAATTATCCACCACTTGGGAACAACCCGTTAGGTGTGGGTGATGACAATCTTTTGGGAACATACCAAAATGCAGGACTACGTAGTCCCAGTCATTATAATTTGTCAAATATATTTTATCAGAATCCTGGTTTGGTTTATCAAATGCCAGTCAATCAGATGAGCCCTCCAACTCAGGGTAGTTTTACAAGCCAATTATTAGGAAGAGACAATCCAGGAAGTATGCAGCATTTTGCAGCAGTAAATCCTTATTATCAATATCTGTATCAAAACCAGCCAAGCTCGCCATTTGCACCACCGACTTTGAGCAATAAATCTTCTTCCAACCAGCATCAAGGGGGTAGTATAGATTTGTCTCTCAACAACAATAGTAGCAGTAGCACCAATAACAACAATAGCAGCAGTAGCAGTAACAATAATAACAATAATAACAATCAGAGGAATATATTTCAGCATCCTGGTGAGCCACCATCTTACAATGCTGCTTACATGGGGAACAATAACAATAACAACAATGAACGACAGCCGTCACCCAAGCACCTAACTAGCATGAAACCTCTTAACCCCATCTACTCACCTCCACCTCCTCCTTATAGTCAGAACCCGTTCATGAATTATGCTTCCAACAACAACATGAGATCTCCATTTATGGCTGCACATCAAAACTCACAAGGATTATCTGCTTCGCCTAATCAAATCATCAATTTGAGTCCATCTCAAAATCCTAATCCTAGTCCACGCTTCTCGCCATACAACAGTAATAACAATAACAACAATAATAACAACAACAATAACAATGTTCCATTGAACTTACAAAACTTTCAACCATCACCAAAACAACTTTTACAGCTACAACAACAACAGCAGCAGCAACAACAACAACAGCAGCATCAACAAGCATCATCTCATCATCATCACCACCATCATCATCACCAGCCATCAAATTCAAATAATGAGAAATCAAATGCATTTGGTCACACTCATAAAGAAAAGCTCATGAAAGTTTTAAAACCAGCTGCTGAGGCAAAAATGAATGAATCTCATATGAATCACAACAACAACACACCTGATAATCTTGTCATGATGCAACAACATCACCACCACCATCAACAACAGCAACATCAGCAGCAACAACATCAGCACCACCATCAACAACAACATCAACATCAGCAGCAGCAACATCAACAGCAACAACATCAACAGCATCAACCTCAACAGCAACAACAAATATTAAAACCTCCTTCAACATCTGGTGGGAGAAGAAACACGGCAAGCCACATGATGGTCAACAAAAATGTTGATGACATGTCTCACTTACTTAATGTTATGAAACGAATTGATGCTATAATTAATGAAGTTGTAAAGGTGGTTGGCTATTTTTAAGTGCATTCATTTGTTCTATTTTCAACATACACATAACTTTTCATGTATAACTTTTTATGCTGCCAGTGTACCAGTGTAAAATTATCTTTCCTAATTGGAAATTTTTTAAAAATATCTTTTATTCTCCAACATGATGTTTGTGAGTTTCTGTTATAATTCATTATTTTGTAAAAGCTGCTGGGCATGTTTTAAAATGTCAGTGCTGCTCTGAACTCTTTTCATTTACAATGTCTGTTAAATCTCAATGCATTCACCTAATGCTTAAAAATCCTAATTGGATTGCCAATCATTCTAAATCCCACTGGCATTGCCAATTATAAATCCCAACAAGACTAACAGTTATTAAACCTAAAAGTTAATCACTTATTAAGTATGTGATGTGGAATATGTGATAACTTATTTTGGCAAATTGCAACTTAAGTGTTAATTATCAATTATGGAGATGAAGGTGCTGCAAATCCAACCTTCAGGAACAACAGAGAATAATAAAGATTTTATTGGTTTAATTTTTTTTAATATCTAGAAGAAAGTACATATTACAATTTCTTGGCCCCATGCTGGTTTTCTTTAACTAAAACCCACACCATGGCATTGCATGACAGGAATCTTTTAAAGTGAAATTTTTAACAGTTTCTTGTTTGAACAGATTTTAGAGATTAGCATATTTTTTGAATGGATGGCATTGTTCATTTTGTTTAGGACAAATAAATGAAGGAATATTTTTTTGAAAAGTTTTGTTTTTTTTTGTGCATCTATAATCTTTTGGCTTGAAATTTTAAATAAATGAAATGGTTAATGAAAAAAAGAGATTATTATAAGAGGAAAAATGATATGTATAAGCATGCATGCATATGCTGGAAGTCATATACACAGTGTTCTGCAGTGAGTTTAAAAGTTCATTAGGTAGATATGCAGTAACTTTTTCATCATAATATGTGCATCAACTAATTTGTTCAGAGTGGTGTGTTGTTTTTGTTTCTCTTCATAACATTATCTGTCATGTAGTATAAATGTTCTGCTATTGACTGATCTAAATGACATGGCTTTCATCCAGCTATGATGAAGACTGCAGGTCCAATTCCTTCTCATGGTTTTAATGTTTAGACTTGGCACACATTTTCAAAAAATCTAACATTGTTTACTTGTCTGTTATATACAGTATTGTATGAATTATATATATATATATATTTTATACAGATAATTTTTTTCACAAATTGGTTGCTTTTAATGGTGATTATATTATATTTAATTACTTGAGAGTGAAATCAAATGATGATATTTTTGGTGATTGAAACAATGCAGCAGAACGAGACCCACGAAACAGCAGCAGCGGTGGGTGCATCTGGTGGTGAGGATGAGAGCAAGTACAAAATCAAAAAGATGGATGATTCCTTCTTTCCCAGCTCTGTGGTCTGTTTACTTATTTTCTCACTTGTTCTCAGTTATTTTAATATTTATTCATCTATATTGTTTCTATTCACTCACTCTTTGTTTTCTACCATATGTATGTACTTGTGAAGAGTTGAAAAGTTGATTGACATACAAACACAGTTGAACCTGTTTGTTTTTGTTTTGTTGTTTTGTGCCTGCAGTAAAGAATAAAAAAGTAGCATGTGTCTGTCTGTAATATGAAACTATGCAACTGTTGATGACGATCATAGATGATGATAATAGATGGTGAATAGATAGTGGAGACTGGTTGGGAATGATTGATAATTTTTATTTGAAAATTGAATCTGAGATGATGTGATGTTATGAAATATACTTTCACAGCAAAGAGAAACGAGGAGTGAGAAGTCTGATTCTTCGCTCTTCAAGTTCTCCTCGCTTCAGTCTGATTGTATTGCAAAGGTCAACCAACTGAAGAATGAAGGCATTGATATCAGTTAGTTATCACTCACTGGACGTTGTTTATTTCACTTATAATTAATGTTTTCTTATCTTCCATATTATATATGATTTTATGTTTCCATATAACTTGCAAAGGGGTTCTGGTTTGTTTGGCTGTTGTGTTGAGCTTGGGATGTTTGAAAGATTATGTACTGGAGCCTTTGTTGTGTAATCCTAATCAATGAAGAACATGAATGAATAATTAAGAAACAAACGCTGATCAATATGTGGACAACATTTGTTGCTCAACAGGGGTGGATGTGAAGCCATAAATAATTTTAACAAGCCAAATATTTGTCGTAAATAAATGAATAAATTTTTGATTTAGTGCATGAGATGGGGATGAAAAAAGTGACAGTTACAGCTGAACTACAGAAGATTTGTATTTTGTAGATATATAATTTGAGTGATAATGTTTACAAATGGAGTTATGGTGAAATTCTATTGATAATTACTTTTTTGAATTTTTTTGAGGCTGGATCTTATCATACTTGGCTAGGGATCTGAGCGTCATTTCCTTTTCATAAATTTATAACATGCTTGCCAATGACCAACATTTGTTTATTTCATCAACCAGCCAATCCATCGAAAGTGTTGTCTGAGAAGAAGTTGAACCTTGGCACAAGATTGACCGTGGGGAAGGTCTTTATCCAAGATGGTCCATGTCATGAACTGCCAAACACATTACTCAGGTTTAAGACATTATTTATTTATTTTCAAATTTCAATTATTTCTCCTGTGCAAGATGGGAACGGTGTTTTGTAACTTGCATCAATTGAATTGCCAATATTTTAAAGCATAAGCTTATTGTTCATCTAATATGATTTTCTGTTTTGGTTGCTGTATTTGTAGGTGTCTTGAATGCAAATCAGCTAACAGACTGGATACGTCATGTAGATTCCTTGCTTTCAGAAGGTGAAGATGCTTGGTTTTTATTGCACCATGTTGTTTGTGTCATTATTTCTATGATTGTATTGATGAATTTTCATCTTATTTACTTATTTATTACTATTTTTAGTACAATTTTATATAATACTACAATAAATTATCTTCTAAAATGACAACGTGTCGTAGGTTGTGCCAAGCAAAGCAGACGTCGGTGAGGGATTGTGGATTTTGTGAGCCAAGTGATTGCAGCGCGGAAGATGTTCTGCTGTGGGTGCCCATTCTCGACCCCACCACGACCATCACCATCGACATCGCCAAATACATCGTCCAACATGTCGGCAATCGATTCTGTAAGCTGGTTGAGCAGGAGAAGGAAGCTATGTCCTGGGCCAATCTGAAAGGTTCAGTTCGTTTTAGTGAATAAGTGAATATATCAGATAATTCAACTCACTGTTGTAGAAATTTTTTTCTTGTTCTATTAATATTTTTATGTATTTACAGATCTTCATCTACTATAAGTACTAAATTTTTATTTTTGTTAATTTAGAATATTTGCTGTAAATGATTGCACTAAATGATTATATTGTTTGTATGACAAGGTGAATGTATTAATACATCTACTTAATTAAAGGTATGGTACTTTATTTTGGCTATCTTTTAGATTGAAAATATTAATATTTTCAAATTCATTTTGGTTGAAGTTCATCATTCAATATTTTTTAAACAAACACTGTTCAATTTAAGAAGAACCTATAATTAAATGAAAATGAAAAAACGTTGAATATGTTTAAATAAAATAAGATTAACTCACAACAGATAAGATAGCCTGGAAGAGACCTGTACATCAAGTTCGTGAGATATGTGATGTCTGCTGTACCACCCTCTTCAACGTACACTGGGTTTGTAGCAAGTGTGGCTACGTCATCTGCATCGACTGCTACAAGACTGGAGCCCAAAGGTGGGAGAAGTGTGTGTCCACCAAGTGCGAGCACTTGCCAGAAGATCTGATCATCACTCAAATCATACCCAGCGATGGTTAGTGGATGGATGGATGAATGAATGAGTGAATGAATGAATGGATGGATGGATGAATGAATGGATGTTAATGTTAATGTCTGCATTGTTTGAGATTTAATGCATTGATGTTTTAAGGCATGGTACTAGATTTTTTATCCTGCTAAATTTCATTATTTTTTCATCTAGCTCTAATGAATGCCATGATATATATATATATATATATATATATATATATATATATATATATATATATATATATATATAGTTAGAATTTACATGTTTAACTTTCTTCTTAGCATATCAATGGAGACAAAATTTTTATCATCTGCCTAATGTTGAACCCCCGAGGCAACCTTGTTTTATTTTGTTTTTCTTTGTCTGGTACAATGCCACTTAATAACTTGTTGGTTTGTTTACAACCAATATCTTTTTCTTTTTTTTAAAGACGATGAATTTGGTGGTTTTTTAAAGACAGAGGAATTTGGTTGTAATAATTTAATGACGATAAGATCAACAACAACAATTCTGATGAATAGTAATTTTGAAAGTTTTAATTATTTGTTTGTTAAATTTTAAATAAACTTTTGATCTTCAGCTCTCTGGGATTTATGTAAGAAGCTGCATGTTATCAGAAAGCAATATGGAATCCACATCAACTGTATCTGCAGTGATGGAGTGCCATCAATGTTTGAGGACGATCACAACATATTTAGTGATGACTTCATTAACAGCAACAACAATAACAACAACAACAATAATAATAATAACGTCAACAACAACAACAACAACAGCAATGCCAACCCGACCAGTGCAGAAGAGAATGGAGAGCAAATAATCAAGATGTCTGTCATGACTCACAATCAGAGGCAGGGTGGCAACAAGAACCACGAGAACACAACTGCTTACAACATGAATAAGGAGTTTCTCATGAGAAAGTTTGGTCCTCCCAAGAATCCACTTCTGAACTCATTTGAAAATTTGTCATCTGTTCATTTGCCTAGCATAACGGAGATAAGCAAAAAGATAACTGATATTTATGATGAGAGGTACGTAGTCATGTGTAAATCGGCATCATCATTGGCATCTTCCTTGCCCTCATCCATCATCATACCGAGACAGATGAGTGCTAACAAGTTGGAACATGTCATTGTCAAGTACAATATTGAAATGACTAGCAAACTTTTCCCAGATGTTCCTCATAAATGGCTCGATGGTGGCAAGTTGCTTCAGCTTCTTGACCCCAAGAACCCATTTAATGTAAAAATCTTCCATCAACAGTGGCAGAATTCTCAACCTGTTATCATAAGCAACTGTGAACAACAGTTAAAACCTGAACTCTGGACACCACAATCTTTTCAGAATGAGTTTGGCGACCTGCTGAATGATCTGGTTGACTGTGGCAACAAAACAGTTCTTGAAGGCTGCAAAATGGCTCAGTTCTGGGAGGGATTTGAACATGTTCAGAAAAGAATGAAGGATTCCAATAATCAGCCCATGATATTGAAGCTCAAGGACTGGCCTCCTACTGCTGACTTCAGCGATATGCTTCCATCTAGATTCACTAACTTACTCGAGGCACTTCCTCTGCCTGAGTACTCACACAGAAATGGCGTCTTCAATATTGTTTCCAATCTGCCTGATTTCTTTGTCCGTCCTGATTTGGGACCTAAAATGTACAATGCATATGGATCCGCTCTTGATTCAAAAGTTGGCTCAACCAATCTTCATCTTGATATTTCAGATGCTGTCAACTTGATGGTGTATGTTGGAGTGCCATATGATGATACAGAGGATCATGAAAAAGGTCATTTGCCATTAATATTCATTTTCACAAATTTTTAATTGAATGTCAGTCTTGCTCTATTAATTTTCTTCCAATACTAAACAATCTTCTTGCATTTCATTAATTGTACTCTTTTTTTTTACAGTTTATATTATCTTTTATTTAGCACCTGTTCCTATTTTTCCACTTTCCAGTTATCTCATGATGTTTTGTTACTTGCGCAGTTTTTACAATTTTTATATATTTGCCACATGCTCTCAAATGTTTTTACAGTTTCCCCAGTTCCCATTTGTATATAACTTTTCATATGAAAATGAAATTCTTCCAACCAGCTGCTATTGAAGCCATGAGACAGGCAGGGTGTTGTGATGAAACAATGGCGCGGGTGGTCAATGGAGCGTGCAAACCCGGAGCTCTCTGGCACATTTATGATCCTCACGATTCCGACAAGATCAGACATCTGCTCACCAAGGTTATTTATTGGCATCCATAATTGCTTTTCAAACTTGTTTTGGTTGTAACCTTTCTTTGAAACCTCTAATATTTTTTTTTGTTTCACACAACTTTGTATAGTTTTTGTAATTTTACTTTTTGTCCAAATTTGGAACCTACTAAGTATTGATAGAATGCATATGGATCTGTTCATGATTCAAAAGTTGGCTCAACCATTCTTCATCTTTGATATTTGCCTGCAACTTTTTTACTTTAAATTCACTCTGATGTTTGCGTTGTGCAAGAAAGGATGAAATATGTTCAATCAGGTTTCTAATGAGAATGGAGAGCCGATTGAAGCCAATTCAGATCCCATTCATGATCAAAGTTGGTACCTGGATGAAGTGCTGAGAGACAGATTGTTGAAGGAGTATGGAGTGGAGGGATACACCATTGTGCAGTGTGTCGGGGATTCTATATTCATCCCTGCTGGTGCTCCACATCAGGTTCACTTTCTTTCGTCATTTAAGATTATATTCCTCTTTGATGGCTGGGTTGGTTATTTTGTTGATTGACTGTTTGATTATTTGGTTTTTTAATAAGTGGATAGATCTGGTGCTTTGATAACTGCCTTGTTTTCTATTTTTGTTTTATATTCTTATGTTAAGATGATAACATCTGCATAATCGTGCATACAACAGGTGCGCAATCTTCACAGTTGCATCAAGGCAGCAGAAGACTTTGTTTCGCCAGAGAATGTTGACTACTGTTTCCAGCTGACCCAGGAGTTCAGACACCTCTCCAAGTTTCACACAAACCACGAGGACAAGTTGCAAATAAAAAATGTCATCTTCCATACCATCAAAAATGCTGTGTCTGTTATGCAAAACAGTTGAACAACAAACTTGGAAGTTCTCCCTTCGTTGTTTCACTTATCTGGTTTTCATTGGATGATTGATTAGTTGAAGATCGTTTGGTTGATTGATTGGCTAATTGGTAGACAAATTTGTTATGGATTTGTTTTTTAAACTCAGCTGGTTTTTCAAGCAGAAAATAATTTAATGATTAGATGTCTCAAATGTTTTTAACCATTTTACAGATCGTTCATGATTTTCTTAATATATCAAATCGATGAATGAATAAAATATCATATATTAATGTGCAAAGATTTTGCGTGCCAAGAACAGGATATATAAAATCACCAGTTGAATTTTTATACACTACATACATTTCGTTTTGTTTCAATTACCATTTTACCATTCAAAAAATGTTATTTTAAAAGCTTATTTAATTTCATCATTGAATTTGTCTAAATAACTGTTTCATTTAATTTTAATTCATTCTTAGAACGCCATAAATGGTTGTTCGCTGGCTTTATGGATGAAATTTATTATTATGCACGAGTTACTTCAGTTATTTATTTAATAAAATATAGTAATTTTTTAAAATTTTAATTGATTTATTCACATGTTACTTTTAGTTTTCATTATAACTGATCTGGATTATAAATTTGAGGAGTCTTTTTTGCTAGATTTTTCTTTTCTGAGATCATTAATGAAGAAATATCATGTTCAGATAATTATTTGTGTGTGTGTGTGTGTTGTTTATTTGTGTGTTTGCGTGTGTGTGTTCTTTTGGATAATGGACTTATATTATGCTAAAGGACTATATATATATACATGTTGACAGTGAATTAATTATCCATTATTTACTATATTTCTTTTGAAAAAGATTTATCATCTAAATTGAAGTTTTTAAAAATATTTTATTAGTCTATTTAATAAATTTATTTATTTTACTCATTTTGTTCATCCATGCATTAGTTCGTTCGTTCATTCATTAATTCATCCATTAATTCATTAACTAATTCATTCATTTTTTCGTTCATATGTAGTTGTTGTGTTTTATCTTTAAGTTGTTTTTTAACCTATCTAGTTAAATTTTTTCATCATTAAGTGTATATAGGTTTGGTGTTAAACTTTTTAACTATATAAATATATATATATATATATAATATGTATGTTATAACAATAAAACCTATTTGTTCATCAGTTTGTGTGAATTGAAAATGCATTGCATTGTATTATCTATACATTATATATATATATATATATATATATATATATATATATATATATATATATATATATATATTCCCATGACTAGAGAGCATGGTGTTTAAATATCGTTGACGATTCTGGTAATGTTGGCTGAGTGACGTACAGAATGTGCAGCAAAATTATCGTTCGTTTTTGTGTTTAGTTTCATATCTGTCAGATAAAATTGTCAACTGGAATTAATTAATTAATTGATTGATTAATTAATTAATTGATTGATTAAATAAATAAATTAATTAACTATTTAGTACGATGATATTTTGAGTTGAAACATCGTGATTGTCGAATAAGAAATATACCTAAATAAGTAAAACAGCCAATCCTGACACTACCGATTCAGGCGAGCCGCCAGGAGAACTGCAGAAGACCAACAGCACGAAGAGTGGATGAGCAGTCTGTAGGACCTTTTTTTAGCCTTCAAA